TTCATCATTCAGCCAGAGAGAGACGTCATCCAGTTAGAGTGACGTCATTCAGCCAGAGAGAGACGTCATCCAGTTAGAGTGACGTCATTCAGCCAGAGAGAGACGTCATCCAGTTAGAGTGACATCATTCAGCCGGAGAGAGACGTCATCCAGTTAGAGCGACGTCATTCAGCCGGAGAGAGACGTCATCCAGTTAGAGTGACGTCATTCAGCCGGAGAGAGACGTCATCCAGTTAGAGTGACGCCAATCAGCCTGAGAGAGACGTCATCCAGTTAGAGTGACATCATTCAGCCAGAGAGAGACGTCATCCAGTTAGAGTGACGTCATTCAGCAGGAGAGAGACGTCATCCAGTTAGAGTGACTTGATCATTCAGCCAGAGAGAGACGTCATCCAGTTAGTGACGTCATTCAGCCAGAGAGAGACGTCATCCTCTTAGAGTGACGTCATTCAGCCAAAGAGAGACGTCATCCAGTTAGAGTGACGTCATTCAGCCAGAGAGAGAGGTTATCCAGTTAGAGTGACGTCATTCAGCCGGAGAGAGACGTCATCCAGTTAGAGCAACGCCATTCAGCCGGAGAGAGACGTCATCCAGTTAGAGTGACATCATCCAGTTAGAGTGACCTTATTCAGCCTGATTGACATCATCCGACCAGAGCGACTTCATCTATCCAGCGTGTCGCTGCAGTTTAAGTGGGCACTACCCATAATCTGTAAAAATATTTTAGCTCTTTTCTGCATTCAGAGTTATTGTTCAGTTTTTCTTTCATTCTTTGTTTTTTACATTTGTTTAAACTTGAAAACACTCTTTTAACAAACAACCTATGGCCTAACCAGTAGGCTGCAAACTGACCTCCTATTAAATCTAGCAGCTTTTTTCTGAGAAAATAATTGCTTGGTTTTAATGCTCTGTTTTGTTGGTCTTTAGACTGATTTCTGCTGCACAGTGAAGCCTACAGCAGCAGAAGGCTGTGAATACTTTTCCACTGTTCTTTCTCATATATCTGAGCATCACCAGTTTGGCCCTGAAGATGACATGCCTGTGTGTCTGTGCTGCTGCTGCAGGAACCGCCCAGTTCCTCCACATGGGTGAAGTGGTCGACGGGGTGGATATGAGGGCAGAGGTTGGTCTGCTGACACGTAACATCCTCATCCGAGGGGAAATGGAGCCCACCTGCTACGGCCACCAGGCCTGCAAATTCTTCCCCTTTGATACCTTTGGGGGACACCTGAAGGTAACCTGCTGCTCAGTTGATTGCTTCCAGAGCCAGCAGCAGCGTCTCTTATTTCCACCTAGTGAAGGATTGATGTCAGACTCTGGTTTCTGCTCTGCCAGCTGCTTCAACAACCATCTATAAATATTTATGGTGTTTCAGTCACACCAGCAATGAAATCCTCCATCCAGCAGTTTTCCCGTAGTGTGTGAATGAGAGGATGATGGTAACAGGTGGTTACCTGCCAGGCTTTGGCCTCCTCTCACTACAGGGAGCTACGGCTGATGAGACGTATTGTGTTAACTTCCTGTATGGACTGTTGAACAGTGTTGTTGCTGTCCAGTTGCTGTCCAGCTGATCTGACCAGTGATGACATGTTTAGCCGCATGTCGTCTT